TCTCTCTCTATCTCTCTCTCTCTCTCTCTCTCTCTCTCTCTCTCTCTCTCTCTCTCTCTCTCTCTCTCTCTCTCTTCTCTCTCTCTCTCTCTTCTCTCTCTCTCTCTCTCTCTCTCTCTCTCTCTCTTCTCTCTCTCTCTCTCTCTCTCTCTCTCTCTCTCTCTCTCTCTCTCTCTCTCTCTCTCTCTCTTCTCTCTCTCTTCTCTCTCTCTCCTCATCTCTCTCTCTCTCTCTCTCTCTCTCTCTCTCTCTCTCTCTCTCTCTCTCTCTCTCTCTCTCTCTCTCTCTCTCTCTCTCTCTCTTCTCTCTCTCTCTCTCTCTCTCTCTCTCTCTCTCTCTCTCTCTCTCTCTCTCTCTCTCTCTCTCTCTCTCTCTCTCTCTCTCTCTCTCTCCTCTCTCTCTCTCTCTCTCTCTCTCTCTCTCTCTCTCTCTCTCTCTCTCTCTCTCTCTCTCTCTCTCTCTCTCTCTCTCTCTCTCTCTCTCTCTCTCTCCCTCTCTCTCTCTCTCTCTCTCTCTCTCTCTCTCTCTCTCTCTCTCTCTCTCTCTCTCTCTCTCTCTCTCCTCTCTCTCTCTCTCTCTCTCTCTCTCTCTCTCTCTCTCTCTCTCTCTCTCTCTCTCTCTCTCTCTCTCTCTCTCTCTCTCTCTCTCTCTCTCTCTCTCTCTCTCTCTCTCTCCTCTCTCTCTCTCTCTCTCTCTCTCTCTCTCTCTCTCTCTCTCTCTCTCTCTCTCTCTCTCTCTCTCTCTCTCTCTCTCTCTCTCTCTCTCTCTCTCTCTCTCTCTCCTCCTCTCTCTCTCTCTCTCTCTCTCTCTCTCCTCTCTCTCTCTCTCTCTCTCTCTCTCTCTCTCTCTCTCTCTCTCTCTCTCTCTCTCTCTCTCTCTCTCTCTCTCTCTCTCTCTCTCTCTCTCTCTCTCTCTCTCTCTCTCTCTCTCTCTCTCTCTCTCTCTCTCTCTCTCTCTCTCTCTCTCTCTCTCTCTCTCTCTCTCTCTCTCTCTCTCTCTCTCTCTCTCTCTCTCTCTCTCTCTCTCTCTCTCTCTCTCTCTCTCTCTCTCTCTCTCTAGGTTACCAGCTCAGTTTTCTGTGCGGGCTGCAGGCGCTGAATGGGTACGATGCCAATGGGAAGCGCTTCTCGCCGACGAGGGCTAGGATGTTTTCCTCGCCGTCAAGCATCCGCACGGTCAGCTCCACGAACTTGGACGCCGCGATGTAGACCCATCTGTGACAAGCAGCAGCGGGGGCACGCGTTGTATGCTGATCGGACATCAGAGAGTGACGTGTGTCGCATCACGAGCAGAATGCTTGTAACCTCCAAGCGTGTTGAATCGCGGCGCCACACTCCGCGAATGCGCCACTATCAGATCCCTAGAGCAGTGTCTGGACCTGCTGTCGCTCCCCGTGCTGTCCGCTTTGAGTGGCGTGGGCCATGTCGGTAAACACTGGTCGGGTCACACGGTGAATGGCAAGCAGTGCGCGCGGATGTCGCATCCGCTTGACAGCGATCCATTTGACAGCCAAGTAACCACGCGCTTGTGATTATTTTTACGGGAAAACCAACGTCGATTTGGCACGCTTGAGTTCGGTGAACTGATGGCACAAGCAGGCTGTGCACTTTGAATTTCGGGGGTGTCACCTTTTGTCGGTTTGTTTATACGCTGACTTACTTACATCGGTGTTAAACTACGTAGGAAGTTGTAAGACCCTGGAACGACGAGAGTCCCCAGCGCCAGCAGGGTAGAAAACTGAAGACAAACGTGCGAAGGCGCATGAGCTCTATCATCCAGGGTCGCATCCAGGGTGGGAGCAAATCAATTGATTCGTCCCTCATCGATGTCACATGTCATGCTATGGCGTGCAATTACACGATAAGATCAAGGCAAAAAGCATGGCGGTCGCAACGTATTGCGTGTGATGCATATCATTTCCCGAGCAAAACGTTCATAATTTACCTAAGAAGCTGACAGTTTATGAACAAAGCTCACCGCACAATAAAGCAGGTTGGCTTATTCGCACAGTTTTAAAAATATCGGAAGATCGAAATGCAAATTGCTACGTCATCTTTCAATGCTTTGTCTTGTCGCTAAGCCCCACTCCGTACGAACAGCCCCAGAGCGTTACAATTACTCCCTAACACGGAACTCCCAAAGAGTCAGGCAAAACCCCGAGATGAACCGGCAGATACCGGAAAGATCGAGTATTGCCAGTAGATAGCATTGCGCCACCCCTCGGGCGCTGCTTTGCTGACGATCCGACGGAGCCGGACGAACAGGCCGAGCTGGAGCACGACCACCAGAGCGGCCACCACCCAGCCGGCGATGAGAAGGCCGCCCAAGTCTGCGGCCACAGGTGACGCTCCCGTTACCGGGTGGTGGTGAGGTGCGCGCGAGACCTGCCTCGCAGGTGGCAGGGTGTACTTACCAGGACGTGCGGCGTTCTACGCACTCTGTCGCCGTGTGTCCCCAGATGAAGAAACCCTACTAAAGAATCGCTGTACCGCGTATGATGTGGTTATCTGGACACAAGTGCAGCATGTGTGTGATGATTCGCACACAAGTGTGCGAATCTAACGTGCTTTTCAGACGGAATGTGGCACTAGGGTCGATCCCATCGCCGAGCGGGGATAGCGAATGACTGATTTGGCACGCACCACACGATGCAAGCCCACGACAGCATGAGGCGCTGCGAGATAACCATAGCGATGACATGGTGGGAACGCGGTCCAAACAACCACGGGGATACAAAGGGTATCGCAGCCCTGCTGTTGGCAAAGGCAAGGCCCATTGTATTTGCCCCACGCACCCTGTCAGATTCGACACTCACTTGACAATGCCTCGGAGGTTGAGGGCGGCGGCGTGTCAGTGTCACAGCTCTTGTTGGACCCCGAGAGGTCACCACGCCGGAAGACATTCTGGGCGGCCATTTCCAGCGCCGAAAGGTCGGCTGCAGCGACGCCGCGGGCTGGGATGTCAGCAATAGTTATAAGGTAAGCGTCGTTCCCAGTTGCGACCGGCGGGTCGGCCGTGACGGGCACGCCTGGTCCTCCGGTCAGGTCCGCATCTATGCTCTGCCCGCGAAGTGCGGGTGGAGTGACTGGGTGTTCAACCCAGACGAAGGACGCCGAGTGCGACACGCGAGACTGAGAAACGCTGCTGGGTGGAGCGATGGGAGAAAGCGCTGATTGACAGCCGAAGTCAGTGGGATGTGCCGCCACGCACCGGCGAGTCCAGGCACAGGCACGTGCCCGGGCACGGGTGCGTTGGGCGGAGTGTAGGAGAAACTCTGATGAAATGGTGAATGCCAGTCGAAGAAGAGGTTTAATGCGAACCTGCGCTTTCCAAACTTCCTGTTCAGTATAAGACAGGATTACAGTAAAGAAACATAGCTATTCTTGTGGAGTAAGGCAAGTGCTGATCCTTCACACTGTGCCCGGACCCAATGCGGCTCCGATACCAGAACTGATTGGTTACCCCTCCCAGAAGAACTATGCACAAATTTGTGGGGCACCACCCTTGCCTCAAATGCTTCCGTTGGTTATTCAAATGTTACAGGATAAGCAGTCATATATAGGCTGAAAGAGACGGAACGGCAACAGCACGTCTGACTGACGAATTTCTGCGTGACACAATCAACGAACTGCAGCAGTTCCGAATTCACCATCGTGCCTTCCTTACATCCATCTTTCGTTCGTGGGAAAGGTCGAGACGTTTGAGCTCCCTGTTCGGTGTTCAGGTCTATACCTCCACCTGTCTTAAATTTTCCCGTCTCAGCCCATCAGCCATTGGCCGGCGTATCCCAGCTCGCCCCCCCCCCCCCCCTCCGTCAAACGGTTGGAGAGTAATCAACTGCCTGGCAAATGCGCTGCCACTTTGCGTTCATCATTAACTTATATTTTTTAAGAAATGTCATACCTTTGCTAAATGTCCCAACCATGCAAACCACTGATAACGCAGCGGTTACCGCCATTGAATCTCGCAAATTTCAACCAGATTGCTGATAAAATTCGTCTCCGGAGTTCTGGGATAGCAACGTCGATCTCAGAGACTGTGTATGCACTTAGCAGAGAGAGTAGCAGCCTCTGTGGGTATTCTTTCCCACATATGCAACAATATACGACTAAATGATAAAAACTAGGTATCACAGCGGCACGTGCTTTATACCTCACTTTATCGAGCACACCAGAAGGCATGTTATGAAGGCCTTGCGGAGTGTTACATCATATGATACCAAATGCTGGAAATTCCCTTTTTACATTAGCTCATGCGTGCAAAGCACTCCACCTTAGTGCTTTTCATCCAAAAAACATCTTTCACGGCGGTCTGAAATGTTTTAAGACACGCGCAAACAGTTATGTGGACAAAAATACGGCTGCAATTGTTGAAACTGTTCCGGACCGCGGCTAAGCTGTTGATGTTTTGTAACTACGCAGAGCAGCGTTTGGTGCTTAATGGTATTTGTGGTAGAACTGCATGTTTCCAGAAAAGTTTCAACGTTGATGACGATATTGGTCGTAATTGGTGACTTCTTACTGCAGCTTAACTGAAAACTCTAAACTTTTTCCTCGTGGACTTTGTCTCCGATCTTGTTTCCCAAGGACGGAGTGAGAATGCCTTGAAATTGCTTATCATGCTCCGTCACACTAAGCCACCCAGAGACCGAAGTCGCATGCTTTAAACCAAATGCCTCCACGTGGAGAAATGTAGGGATAATTTAACTCCATTCTCCACCACTTTTTATGACATCGGAGAAGACGTTCATCAGAAGAGAATTAAAAAGTGCACTTAATCTAGCTGTAATAATGAGATGCCATTTATAACTACTGTTACTAGCTTCCAAGTTCTCCGGAGGTGCACCGTCCTTCAAAAATGTTACTTGTCGCCATGCACTGTTCTGAGTGTACGCAACACTTTTTAATGGCTGCAAAGCCTCCACGGTGGCAGTTGCCGTTCGCAACAGTTTCCACCAATTCCAGTAGTACATTCATCTGAATAACTGCTTGGGCATGAACTAGTAAAACATGATTTCAACCGCGGTCAAAAATGTTTTACAAAATCAAAAAGCGCTGAGGTGACATATTACACTACACGCACGAGCTAACGCAAGATATTCTAGCATTCGACAAAATGTGCCGTCCCGCCCTCTAATGATGTTGTTCCACCCTGTTTGAGCATATTTCTTTTCTCAACGGCTCACTTTATATCAACAGTGAAGGATGCGTGTAAATGTCTTTCTGTGTATCAAGCAGAAGCTGAAAGAAACAGGCACTTAGATAAACGTTTGGATTTATTGTGGTGAAATACATATCGCGTGTTTGTCTCCACCCCCGGCTGCGAAGAGCCGCATTGTGCAGACGCCATGCAGGCATATGTTTTATGTGGTTTAATTCCTTCATGAGGTTCACATTTTCAGTGCCTTTCAGATGAACAGTATCATCGGCCTACAAAGCAGCTGCACAATGCAGTCCTCATCAGCTGTAGTACAGAGATGCAACGGCATGCAGCAACAGCACATGCAAGGCACTGAGATCTTGAGCATGTTGACACGCTTCACTCGCTAGTATCCGTGGCAAGGTGTTGCAAAGGTTGTGCACTTGATGTAAAAAATGTTCAGCTCCTAGTTTTTCGACATTGTGTGTTCAAAGTTCTTATGCTAGGTTAGCGACCCGAAATGCACCAGAGGGCACTGGTCAAACGAAGCTGTAATGCTAGCTGATAAATGTGTTGACGGTGCTCGGTATTTCGAGCTGTGCTCATCATTAAGAATGATGCGAGTATCTTCAAAAGAATTGGTGTTAAGCATTGGTACCGCGTCACTTAACCACTGCCTCCCCACATTTTGAAGGCTATGAACTCAACATAAGAACTGAACACTATTGCTTCAAAAAAGCTCATAGTTTAATAACATAATAATATGCAATATATGAACGCATCATGTAACATCAATTCGCATTTTTGTGTAACTGAATCAAGCCTATTTCAAGCGAAAGGCCAGCTAGCTTTTTTTGGAAAGAATACGACGACTGGTGTCTGTAATGTAGACGGCCATAAGCGTAATGTTTACTGTCACTCTAGCCGACATTTGACCTTTATTATCTCAGAAATTTCGACGTTGTTGGGCTCGTGGCGATAATTGCCCAGCTATGCAGAAGTGGTTTCGAATATGCCGACAGACTGCGTAATGCTAGCTGCATCTGCAAGTACCTCCCAACTTACGCACAGTCGGGTCATCGATTTAGCTAATGTGGATTAGAGGTATCCCCTTTTTGTGTCCCGAACGGCCGTTGCGCCAGCACCATGAACACTAAATGCCCGCCACTCTCCCGCCCGCCCGCCAAAGACCTCTGCAATCCTTTGAAGAGGAGGTCACTTTGAGCACATTCCATAGAATGCTCTGCGAGTGATGACTAAATGTAAAAAATTCATGACACTAGTCGACGCTTTTTGGCGAATCATTTGCTTCAATGTATTTGGCAGTGAGTCATTTATATCATATGGCAAGTGAAATCTGAACACATTTTTTCCCCAATCATGTGGCAGGTGGTCTGCAGCTCCCAGTCCGTGGACGTGAGGCTGCGGTGAATGAATGATGCTTCCCCCCCCCCCCCCCCGGGATGTAGTCATGTTGACCGAACCTACTACCATTTTACTTCGCTCGCGCGTGTGCGGGAAGTGTACCCGAGAAAAATGCAAGGGCATGCAGTGCTCACGTTGCGAGGAAAAGAACACGCGACGCGCTGTGGATCGAGACACCTCACAACACAAAGAAAACTCAATTAAACTGGTGCCGTTCGCCCCACACGTTCGGTTTCCATGGGTAAACCAATCACGTCGGTCACTTGTGCACGCCGGCCCTTCACAGTTTTTCAGGTGTGACGTCATGACGCACGTGGCACGGGACATGACGTCATGAAGTGAAGGTGCACGCATGCAACTTCACGTTCACATGCAGCGGCCTTGGCCGTCAGCTCTACTGCCAGCTCCCATACACCATTAACTTCAAAAGTCAAGTGGCCAAAATAATAGCGGGAGCAGGACTTTGCGCGTGAGCGTGGGAATTATTTCAGTCTTTTCACTTCACTCAGCTGTTTTCACCGCACAGTTAATTCGGTAAAACTTCGTCCTCAAAGGCGATGGCGTCTGATCCCGTCACACCGCACACAAATGGAACCGCGGCGGTAGGGACGCCACATCGCTGCAGGCAGGGTAACCATGACCACCGACACCAGCAGCTGACCCCGATACATACCCAGTGACCAGATGTCAGCCCGCTTGCCAAGACTGCCAAGACCAATGCTCCGTCGACACGCGCCCCCGAGTGGAAGCACCCCGACCGTGCGGCGCTCGCGTCCTTCATACCAAGGGGGTCAGAATTTGGTCAGGACTAGGTCTGGCAATCCCACGGAACGTCGCCATGGGGACGCCCCAGGGCATTTACGTGTAGAAGGGCATCACAGTGCGGATTTTCAACCAACGTTTTCGAGTACTTTTAAGCCGTTTTTTTCCAATAAAGTGAGTCTCAAGATGTTTGTCAGTACGTCTCCTAGCCCTGCCCGGGGTTAAAACAGCAGTGGCTGATCAAATATTTCAACACCAGGTCGCATCCCTGCTCCATGCCTTTCACCCAATAAAGGTAACTTCTAACGACATTTGATTTGATTATCACCCTCTAAGACAACCTCGGACCTGAGGTACAGATACGGGTTACTTGAAACCGGTGACTCGTAGAAACGAGCGATAAACTCGATGGAACGGAAATATTCTAGTGTACAACCACTAAGAAAGGGGAACCGGTCGTGTTCATTGCTAAAAGAGGTACAAGAAATTTGGGCGGATGGGCCGGAAGACAGGTACAATCTGATTTCGCATGGTTTTGGGTAAAGCAATGTCTGAATTTCTTTTGAGCATATGCACGGACTCGGAACTGAAACTTTCCAACACAAATGGGGGGTATCATTGTCATGTATGGACTGTTCTTTCTGTGCACTGTCATAGCCATACCTACTCTAAATTTGTTTGCAATCTTGGACCGGTGCAGTTGCACGCCCAGATTGATGGCATTAAGGCAACGTCCGTGTAGACTCTTAAATACAGGTCAAAACTGCAGCCGGGCTTTCGCAAGCCATTCAAGTGAGAAATTAGTGTACTACAGGCTTATATAGATGGGTTTCAGTAGGGGTAACGAGAGTTATCTTGAAAAGTTTTAATGATTTATGTCCAATCAACGCCCGTAGGAGCAACGTAAGATTGTCAGCGTTTAAAGATCAGGGCTCAGTTGTAGCCTTTTTTCTCCTCCTCGCCTATGCCCCTGGCCTTCCGAAGCCCAGAAATAATGAAAATTGAGTACGTATGTACATAAATTGTGGAAATTTCTACGTTGCTTGTAATGTTGATGGCCTTAGTACTTCAGGGCTTTATAAAACTGGCTTGCGGTATCCAAAATTGTTAGTTGTATGCTTCAAGGTAAAAACTAAAGTGCTGAACTATGGTCTTTTGTGAGAATTCTTTGGCATGTTCCGGTTGGCCAATACAGACATTACATGAAAATTATATTTAAGGGCTTGCAAGGATGGAGTACTGATCACCTGATACCAATAAATGCTGATACTTTATAGAAAACTGATACTATAGACGTTCTTGCGTCGACGACCAGCACGCCACGTCGACCGATATCGCGAGGTGCCGAGATACACCAACGGGTTCTGTCAATGCATCGCGTTTCAGTGTTAGGAACACTTGCTCCGCCTGCCATATGACGTGGGCGTACGAACCCGGAAGAGTTCGTTTAACGTTCACGACAGGTCAAGCCCGGAAGGGAAACAGTGCACCAGGAAGGGAGAGATGTGCCCACTGCACATGTTTATTATATCCGTTGCCTCGCTCGAACCGTATTCGACTTTATAGGCTGCGTTCCAATTACACACACAAACACTCGCCTTAGAAATTGCCTCAACCAATTAATCAATATCAAACGTACATAATACACAAGTCAAATTTCAGTGTGCAGGTACTTATAAACATTGAAGGAATCCCACCGCAAATGTCGTATAGACCCACCCTCTTTGGCCCGTCCCCCAGAACCTACCCAAGAGAGGCCACGGCGAGGAGTGCCCAGAGAGACCGTTCATCACGTCCCACCCCTGCTCAGCCTGGGATAGTACATCCGCTTCCCCGCGCATGCGCAAAACTCGGCTACGGCGCCTGGGATGCCTGGTTCGGCTGTCCCCGCCACCTAGCGGCCGGCCGTGGCTCCAGTGTCGGCGTAGCCGAAAGTCCGGTGACGGCCGCCTAGCGACAGGTTTCGGAACCAACCACCCCGTGGTGTCGGGTGCAGCCGGGCCCGCGCCATACAGGAGACAAACCGTGCTCCTTCCGTTTGAACTCACAATCCGGACCGCGAGCGGCAAGCGAGTCCCGCGCCGTGGCGGCTGAAATACTCCACACAATATTCCATCGCTCGGGCTCCCGGCAAACATCCCTTTTTCTGAGAAGGCAAAGGGACTACCTAAAACATCGAGTTCAACACAGATTCATCGACCATAAATGTCGTGCATTGCCCGACACCAAACTTTGCGATCCGTATCATACATTTGGTATAAGGAGCGATGAGTCGCACACATAATTATGTTATCTTACCACTTTTTGACAAGTATCAGCAATCCCGCATATCAACCATGCTTCCACAGGTCAAATGGGTCAAACTGAGGCCTGCACTAAGTTCCTTACGAATGACCAGCAACGGCTATCTACCTTGAAAGTAAGTTGGAAATGAAGTTAAAATTCTTACAACGCTAACATTCAGACTATGTAAAAACAGCTTGCACATGTATCCTTGGTAAAACATTCTTTGAAGAACAGTCAAACGCAGTCAGTGTGTGTGCTTTACTGGCAAGTAATAGCCAACTTGTAATTAAACAGAAATGAGTTTTGTGCACTGGTACGACCTGCAAAACAAAAGCCAACCTGGGAAGGGCTGCGTTTGGTCGCGATAGAAGCATTCAACGAATTGTTATCCCGTGATAATCGTGCGCGGAAATTTTTTCCATTTGCGTTCCTCAGAGTCCTAAAATTTTTCACTAGTTTCCTCATGGTTCGCCATGCGTAGCAATGGTAAAAGCTAGGCATGGCGAAGAAAAGATTCCCGGTACTGACCAAGCTCTGGCAATCCTTTGAGATTTGCCCATGGTCTGGAAAATTATCTGCGATAACTCTGCGTGTTCGCGGCGCCGAATGTCACCCCGAAAAAGAAACGTTCTGGATAATTTTTCAAGATTAGCTGTTGAACGAGCGCACCGCTTACTCTTAACTCGATGTAAGCAAGTGCGTTCCGGGTGGGATAATTGTTCGGACTATTGTCCTTGTGTAGTGTGTTAGAACACCAAAATAACACAGCAAACAAGGTCGGCAGTTGGAAAATTATTCCATTCGTCATACTAACGCTTCTTCTCAATCATTTCTTCAACCTGTTAACAAATAAGTTTTTGCACAACAGCCATAGTCGGGGTGTTCAAAATTTCCTTCAAGTGCTGATGAGCTGCCTTATCAGAACACCAATCGTTGGCGTTGCGATACGTTCCCGATATGGGCGCTGAATTCGTGCTGAAAAACGTTTTGGGGTTGCCAGCAAAAATTTTTGGTTCTTGAAATACCTGGTCAATGGAAACGAATTTGTAGAAACAAAGGATGTTAATCGATGTAAACTGACATTCCCTGCAATCCTACGTGCACTACGAAAAACCCCAACTCGACTAGACACACTCCCTTTCAGAGAAGTGTTTTATCTTTGAGGAATATTTCAAAAACATCCTCTAGTGAGACCACAAGAGTAGTTACGTCTAATCATAACACTGGGTAGTGCTACTGCAGCACCGTCAAGACAAAAGGAGGATATCAATTTTAATTATTTTCGGGTCTAAACCCCGCTGTTCACGATTTGTGATGACACTGCCCAGTGCTACTGCACTTCTTCCCTGCAGTCGTGACCAACGTCGGCATGACATCTCCGTGCGCACCTCTGGTAGTGCGAATAAAAGAACGTTTGAGATTGGCCCGGCGGACAAGGGATGTTACCTAGAAGTTGGTTGAGGTGTTAGCATCAGTACTATCATCAGTATTAGTATTAGGTGTGCTGGGAAGCACTCACATGGTGGCCATTACGGCTCCAAGCCATACAGGCGCAGCATGGAAAGGCACACACAAAAGGCGTACACTTAAATGATACGAACAATGGTCAGAGAGCTGAAACAGATCCTATCGACGCGCTACGGGCCAGGTCAGATCAGTTGTCGGCGGTTAAAATCATATCGCGTGTGGCGGTCTTCAACGCCCTCAGTGGTGTGGTATGGCCGGGGCGCGATGGCAGGCGGTTCCAGGCTGCGGCTCCGTACAAAAACGCCCTTCGTGTGGTGGTCAGTCTGGTATATGTGCAGGCAGGACTGCATCTGTCCGAGGCGCGCGTTTCACGACTCGAAATAGGGGCGCGTGGGTAGAAAGCCTTCGGCCCTCATGAGGCACGCCTTTCTCCTCTGACGCCATAAATACCTTTATCACGTCGCGGTGCGCCACCATGATCTCGATCCTCGGCCATCCGAGGGAATAATTTAAAGCCGGAATTATATGAATTTTTTGCAGCCGGTAATTGTTCCTGAAGTTACCGACTCCAAGCTGATTTTTTTTTTAAAATGCGTAGTTGGCTCTTGTTGCCCCACCCCACACGCACCGGCAGTACGTGATAGTGAGGGAGATACGTGCGCCTGGATGATTATTTTTAAAAGATTTGAAGTACAGTGATGACGAAACTTGTACAGAGAAACGAGGATGCCATTGCACGTTTTTTCACGACGCTTGAGACATGGGCGCCACATGATCGACGGGAGTCAGCTATGGCGCCAAGAAATTTGATGCTGCTTGATGCACAAAGTTGGAGCGATGATTGAGCCTTAGGGTACATGGCATGACATGGGAAGGGTGAGCTGCCCTCAACGTACCACCTGCCCTCGATCACTCAAATAGCTCCTGAACCATCCAACATCGGTAACGCCATACCAAAACAGTTTGGTGAAGAGGTCGTCGTGGTCGACGTTATCGAACGCTTTTGAGGAATCCATCGTCGTTACCGACTCAAGACGGTCGTCGGTGTTGGTGACCAGACGTTCGACTGCGGCGAGTACGGCATCCTCGGTCGAGTGGCGCGACCTATGGGCATGCTGGAATGGATGCGGCAGCGCTGCCACGTTGAAATATTCCGTTAGCTGTGTGTAAGCCAGGCTTTTCCAGGATCTTTAATATAATAAGTTCGAATCTTTAATAAGATAGGTTTAAACCAGTCTGTCACGTGGATCATGCGATATTCCCCTTTCTAAAGCCAAAATTCGCCTCGAAAAAGCCATTATGGTAAGCCCCATAGGGGAGAAATCGAAACCATAAGATAACGTTTCATTGAATACGCGGGATATTATTTTACGTTCGCATATTTTTTGTCTGAACAGAGTGTTTTAAGCTTTCGAAGCATTTGGTGTGCCAACATTTGGACACATTGGCGTATTGCAAACATTACCGAATACACACGTTTGAAAAGCAAATTGAACGCAAATTCAATGTATATTTTCATAGTGATTAGAATGGAGTCAAATGAGATTTTCCGCATGGTCGGCTACTTACAATTCCAATTCCGAGCTGTTCAAAAACACTTGCGAGAAAACTGACATTACTAATCAAATCGTACGCGTATGATGTAACAATAAGTGACAAAGTATAAAAAGGTGGATGCTCCCTTTTGAAGTAGCCGATCCCACGGGAGAAATCTCACGTGACTGCATGCTCAACAATATGAAAGCAATACATTTAATTTGCATTGGTTTTTCCTATGTGTGCATGTTTGCAACATGTACGTTTGCAACCTCAATGTTTCCAAATGTTTATGTAATGAATGTTGCGAAAGCTTGAAACAATGTTTAGACAAGAACATATGCGAACATGAAGCTATTATTCCGCAAACTCAACGAAACGTTACACTATGGCTTTGATTTTTCCACTACGGCGTTTACCCCAGTGACTCTTTTCGAGGCGCCTTTTGGCTTTGGGAATGTCAATATCACATGATCCATGTGACGCACTGGTCCAAACTTCAAGCAATCAACTTCTCAGCGAAAGGTCCCTGCCCGCTGGACCAATCACAAATTTTCATTCGCACCAGTAGAGATGCGCACGGTAGTCGTCATGACGACGGTAGCCGCGGCTGCAGCGAAGGAGCATAGTACTGTCACATAGCGTTGACAGCGTAATTTGGACTCGAAAGTACTCAAAGTTGATATCTCATAATGCTTCGATGGTACTGCAGTAGTACCACCCAGTGCAGTATTAGGGGTGACTAGTTCTGAGGTTTCACTACATATATTTTTTTTTGAAATATGCCCCCAAGATGGGACACTTCCTTTAAGAGGGCAAGCGTCTGGCTACAAAGATGGCGCTTGTACGTAGCGATGAATCCGTTTCGCTATATTCCAGTCGCATCTAGTTGATCCACTGAGCGAGAAGAGAAAACGCTGATCCAGATGCCATCTATTTAAATTGGAATTTAAACCGATTAGACGCTCGTCTGCGTCAAGGACCCAACCATGCGGTACTAGAAACTTGTCATTGCTCTCCGAATTTGGATGAGGCTTGTCATCTTCTCCAGCTGCGCCACGCCCAAGTTTAAGCAGCATCTTGAACCGCGCCGCTTTAATTATAAATTACAGCGTTGTGCTACAGTTAATTACAATGTCGTATACAGGTGACATGAACGCTCCCGTTCCGTGAAAGAGGTGAAGTTTACCCATCACCGCCCGAGAGCGCTCACACTTAGGCAATTTAGGTCGTGAACGTCGTTGAGTCCGGAGGTTATGGCCAACTAGTGAACATGGCGACAAGGGGTCAGTGTGCTATGGTATGCTTGCGTGGAGTTAAGCCCAAGGCCACAAACGCCATTGCACCGAGACATCAGCATCAATCAGTGCACAAAATGTAACTACTTCCAAGTGGGTCCCATCTATATGCTGTCCACTTTTGAGCATCTGCATGCCAAACAACGATGTGATGGCAATTAATTGACATAAAATTTGAACATAGATACGATATTGACTTGTTCCAAAGCTGATTCATGTGAGGTCAAGTTTTTCCACGGTCTGTCGTAACTTTCATCGCGGATGTTTTGCGCGTTAGTTTTGTGTGTCTCCGTGGCGCGCGACGCGGCCATCCGCATTGTTTTTTTCTGCCGTTTGACAGCGCGCAACCCAACATGTGGTTACTTGTTCTCCTCACAGCAGGGACGATTTGTCAGAAATTCTTCGAGCTTGCACATGCACCGGATTCTGATGCAATGGTTGCGAACATAATGAACAAGATATCGATTGCCAGGTTTTCACGTTTCAGAACATCGCTCAAATGCGACGGATTTTGGCTACGTTCAAATCTTTTCACACAAACGGCTCTAAGACATGGATGGCAAAATATGAATTTCCTAAAAATTTGAGATTCGGGCTAAGTCATAGAGCTAACGTTTTAAGTGATATAATACTATTGGGGTAAAAATTACATCACGTCTCGGAATGCTTGACAAAAATAGCAAATTTCTGAAATGTCGGTTGTCGTCATGAAGACAAAGCAGTAACTGGAGTGGCACATGCGCAGGTCGCGTGGATGGATCAATCCTCGCTGTTACCGATTGTGGCTTACGAAGTTTTGGTCGTTCAGGTCTTCAAACAAGCATGTCTATGTGGGCGTAGCGCGTTGCAAACTAATAGATAACGACTCTTGGGCACATTCACACCACTGTGTGCGCAGTTATTAATTAAAAGTGGCGTTTCCGTAAAATTTGCACAAATGCATGAAATCAGGATAACGTAACATCCAACAAACATTGCTGCACAATAAATTTACAGCAACTTGCCAAAACTGGCCAATAATTCCAAAATTTCTGGAACGCTGAATCAACTACGCGATAAACGGTGTATCACACCATGGGATAGTTCAAGCGTTTCACAGAGTTCCATCTGGTTGACAAAATGACAAAACTGGTGTGATTTACGTGGCTTTTTCCCGACATATGTGAGCAGGCATCTGCCACAGGCGCAAAACACGGCATATACCCCCTGGTTCAAGACTTGAACTCTATGTTCAAGATGAAGCAGCGTGACGCACAGGCTTATGCGAAATTAAATAGTCATCTTGACCAACACGCGACCTTATGCGACGGGCCAGTTCCCATCTGTATTCAGCCCTGCCAGCTGACTGTGGCTTGTTAGAGCGGGGTGGATCGAGGTGTGGAGCAAGAGAACCCACCAACACAGTGAAGTTACACACCGAGAGAGCGAAATATATTAAGATTGATCCAGCCTTTTTTAAGTACCCAGTGCTTAGGGTGAACAATTCCTAACATACCTGACTAATTGAAAGAAGGAAAATTCGTCTCTCGCACAAAAGCTATCGATCTGTCCATAAAAAGTTATCGTCACGACAGCACACGAAGGCATCCACTTCTTTCCCTGTCGTTTACCTGTTTACCTTTGTTTACCTTTACCTTTACCTCTCACCTCACCTGTCGCACACGTCACTTTCACTGTCACACCACTTCACGCGCAACGCGCCCACCACCAACTTCATCACCCATATCACGGGCGCAGAAAATCGCCAGTGTTTGTCCGAGCACTGAGAAACTCCATACGTGTTGTGCCGTCTTCAATCACCTCCCTCCTTCAACCTCTTTCCCACTCGGCTCCAAGCTCCAAGTCCTCCGAAATACTGTCAAACGGAACAGGATAGTCCAGTCACCAAAGTTCCCCTCCCTCTCATAGAAGGTGCTCTGTGCATGTGAAACTAACATGAAAGGCAAAGGTAATTTTTGCCAAAGCAGTTGAATTAAACTGGAAGGGAAATTTGCTAGACAACATGTCGGGAAGTGGAAATTTAGCATGTTCCACGGCGTTACGCACTCTCAAACCAAATCAACCCCTCTGACTCCTGGCATCCCCCGGTGCACTGAGAAATCAGAAATCAAATCCGTCCAGACGAATTCCCACTGAACTCCGGACCTGCTCTTGTGCACAAGGGAGTGGAAATCGAATCTGTCCGGGGACACCAACTGAACACCGCACCCCAGACCCGAGGAATGCACCCAAGAAGCGGAAATTGAATCTGCCGTCGGTTCAATTTCCGATTTGAATCTAAATTTGATTCCGAACCAGCCGTCGAGAGTACAACAGACCACTGAACTCCGGGCCTTTCCGACAAATGCTGTTCGTTTAGCATTCACCTCAGAGCAACTTCGCAACAGGGCATCAGTAAGGGAAAGATATGCTCACTGCACATATAGATTATATATATATATATAAATATATATATATATATATATATATATATATATATATATATATATATATATATTGCTTCGAGCAAACAGCACCTCATTTTAGCACCGCTGCTGTCTAGATAACCAAACACGTGAAGGAATCCCCCTGTAGATGTCGCAGAGATCGACCCTCTTTGGTCTGTTCCCCAGAACCTACCTCAGAAAGGCCACGGTACGGAGTGGCTCGAGAGGCCGTTGCCCACGTCCTACATCATGCTGGTTATTTGTATTAGGGGCCTTTTGACCGGAAATGATCATTTCAGGGCTAGTGGGATGACGGAGAATGGATAGCGGTAGACAGGACTGCATGTGCCTGAGGGCCAACCGCCTCGCGTTAGCCCGCGCAGGGACACCTCTGCGGGATGCGCGCTAGGCGCCCGGCTGGTCCCCCTCCAGGAGGCCTTTCGGCCCACTGGTGGGTGACGTACGCAGCCTGCGCCGAATAGGTGGGGCGTCGCGAGGCATTAGGATAAAGCAAGAAAAGCGGATTAGAGGGTCGGATACTCCCCTCGCCCCCATCCTGCTCTCCCTGGAATGCGACTTCCGCTTCCTCGCGCATGCGCAAACCCGGCTGCGGCACCTGGGATGCCTGACTCGGCTGTTCCCGCCACCTAGTGGCCGGCCGCGCCTCCAGTGTCAGCGGAGTGGAAAACCCGTGTGACGGCCGTCTGGCGACAGGTTTCGGAACCAACCACCCGGTGGTGTCGGGTGCAACTGGGCCCTCGCTATACACGAGGACGTCCGCGCTCCTTACCGCTTGCGCGCAATACCGATCGCGAGCGGAACTTGCTGCGGCTGGTAAAATATTTAACACTACCCAACCAGGCCTGCTTTAACTGTTACCAGAGGCCTTACTCCGCACTGCGGTCTGACCGTATATAAGGGGGAGGGCGAAAGAGTGGGCGAGGTGATTGGTGCCCCAAAAGCACAATTTGTTGCAAATGGCGCCATCTCGGAGCTGTCAGACGAACCACCCGTACAAAGTGGCACATGGCGCTGTGTTGGTTAGTATCCGGAAACGATCGCTTATCTGGTCAACTCCATTGGCCTATTGGAGGGTCAGTTCATGTATTTATGCAAAGAAGCTGCCTTTAGTGACAGACTAACGTGAATAATGCGGTGCGTGCAGGATTCTGAGGTCGCACGACACTGTTAAAATAGTTATGCATTGCGCATCATTCACCCAGAGGTGGCTATAGCCACTCGCCAGATTTGTAATGGGATGACTTGTGATTACTTGGCTTTTTACCTTACCTTGCCCTGAATATTTTTGACCATCTGAGATTGCTCGTTGAGTGCAATGAAACATTCTGAGGGCAATGCATGCCAGTTACAAACGCCACACAACTTGGTAGGAGGTAGGTAAACCGCGGTTTTTCCCAAGGTAGCCCAGGGTCCTCTCCACACGGTGCACTAGGTGTTTGCTTTGCTCAAGAAGTGCAGACCTTTCACTCGGTGAGGTGAGTTTATTTTTAAAAACATGACCTTACAAGAAGCAAACATTATTTTCTCGCATAGCCTTAAGCGCGAGGCAACATCCACAAAACAAACGGCTAGACTTTAATGGTTTTCAAGATTCTCGCCGACACAAATTCACAAAACTTCAGCGTGTTTGCACGGTGTTCGTCATGAAGAACGCATGTCAGTACACAAGAACATCCCAGCAAAGTACCCCACTATAAAAACCAGCCATGGAACAGCATTCATTCACCCACACAATGCCACTAACGGCGGGGCACTGCGCCGTCCAAACCCTACGGACAGGGGGAGGGAGAGGGGACGGGCTGACAGCGCTCATTTGCTGCCCGCCTCCTCCATGCCAGTGAGCGGGCGCAGCTGCGGCGTGAGAGCTCGCTGGGTCGACGCCTCCGCGTCCGCCTCCTTGGCGACGCCGCGGTACTGGCGGCCGTCGAGGTAGGTCCGGTGGGTCAGCAGACCGAACACGGTCATCTCGGCGGCCACGGCGATGTTCCGCAGGACTGTCGGCGGCGCGGACGGTCAGGGCAGACGCGCAGGGACAGCGACGCTGGAGGGTCGCGTCCGGAGGGAGCGGGGCGGTGCGCTCACGGGCAGTGCGCCCGCCACCTCGGCTCTGGCTCCAAAGATGGCTTTCGCTCTAGGCGATCGATGGTTCTGACCATCCGGTCACATTGAGCCACATATTCCCACGGATGTAATACGAATCGTTTGTTTATAGGTTCAATCTGTGGTATAGGGTGTACAGGCTTCATCTGAAATAAACACATATATTGATATCCCGTAGAAGTCCGGTCGTATTGATCTGACATTGCAAAGTCGCCCGCCGCTCGTCACCTGCAGCGATCTCCGTAAAGAGCCAAACTTCCCATCATGAGTGAAGTCCGGTTCTTTTGACCTTTAGACCTCGCCACTTTTGCTATCGAAAATGCGTCAGTTGGTGCGCCATCGCATCTCGTCCTTTATTTGTGGAAGGCACTAGCCATAACTTGGTTGAAAATGTGAGCATATAGCACACGATGGGATTCGAAAGGGTCGGCAATTTGAATGGCAGACGGCGACCCGCGTGTCGGGATCTCAGGTGGTCGCTTTATTGTGTGACAAAGAAAAACATTCGGGCTCAAGATGCAAAAATGTATTGTAGATTTGCTTTGTTCAGGTGGACCGGTGAAATATGCAGCATTGGCCAAGTATTGATGCGTGCATGGCTCAACTAAAGAACAGTGACAGCAATGTCATATGCATCTAATGTGGAATGCCTGGACCTGAGTTGAGGACACATGTTAAAACTATACGCATGCATGCGCCCATCATAATGCATACGCATCTGGTACGTTAATGCCGTGTGCCAAACAGCGCCTGCTCTATCCAAGCCTTGTGCATAGCTGCGCACCTGACTTTCTTGTGGTGTGTGTAGAATGACCATAATCACCAGCATGCGCTGAACCCCCAATCATAGCCATGTCCGGCTCCCTTTAACTGTCTCAACTTACAGGCTCCGTAAACTTCTGGGGTCATTGAATCCGTGCAAGACACAGCTCCGTTCTTGATGCATATGTTGAAAATGAGCTCTTGGAGCTTGGTGATCACCAGTGTGAACTTCATCAGCATACACTTAGTCTGAAAAGAACGGACTATGTTATTTCCTAGCGGGACTACGGATAATGGCACACAGGGTGTAGTGGAACATGTGGTGGTATCTAGCAACGGCCTTACGAGAGCAATGGAGTGTTTACTTTTTGCGCATGCTTGAACCTGGTTTGCATACGTGCACTAGTGGAGAATGACGAAATGTTTGTGTGACCGTGTTTTCTTAAGCTGAAGCATGGGAAGATGAATGAGCTGTACTAATGAGCAGTACATTGCAACCATTAACAGGCCATCCGGAATGCAATCTCAAACTTGGTTTGCCTGCACATCGAGCAGCTTCCTGAGCCTCTGTGATGACCAATGGTGGGAGTGGAGCTGAAAGCGGATTTCAAGGGTTCTCCATTTGTTGTTTTGCGCATGGAGGCGTGAGGGTGTTCGATAGGGCGCAACCGAAGCGCAGTACACCGGAGTACAGGCGCGCGGTACAGCGCGGTACAGCGCGGTACAGCACAACGTTGCGCTCAGGCGCAATGACCAAGCACGCTAAAATGTTTTGCGATGTTCTCAAACCCTAAAGCCGAATAGCGCCAGAAGAGGCCCGTGCGTTGCCTCTCACCGCAGGCGGCACACCCGTCTTTATCTCGCACCTCTGCCCAGTTAAGGGCCAAACGGATATTACCTTTTTGAGGCAACGCTTAATGCAGCGTCACCAAGGAGGAAGGATCGGTTTCGCCCAGCGTAGCCAGTGCGTAATCAAGCGAGCCGGCTGAAAGAACGGTCAAAAGCCCATAACGTAAGTCACGGACGGCCACCCAATGACCCCACACCTGCAAGTGTTACGCCCGGGCGCTTTGCGTGTCTTAACAATCATTCGCACGGTGGTCGGCACCAGGTTTTAATGCGCCAGCTGTCAACGCTAGTGTATAACGAGTGAGCGGCTGGCGCCAGAGTATAACACAGATGCGGAGTACATGCGCCGCCTGGCGTCAGCTGCCAGCGCCACAGTACAACGCAGCAGCAGACGTCTGGCCGCAGTGCTCCGCCTGGCCACGAGGCTCACCTGATAGTGGTAGTCAGGCAGGTGACCTCTGGTCATCTTCTCAAACATGATCAGCCCGTACATGCCAGCCATGAAAGAGGTCGTGTTGAAGACGGTGAGACACACGGACACGCGGTCTGCCACGCTCGTGCGCTGGTCCAGCTCGCCTCCAGGCAGCTCCGCCGACATTTCGTCCCGAGCGTTGGGAGCCTGACAACATCGCAGACGCCGTCAAGCGGCGCCACGTATCGATGACGTCATAAGTCAAACGGCACCACTTCCGGCCTATGACAAACACGGCCGACTGGTGGTGCCACGTGAACAATGACTGGGGGAATGTGCGCTGCCTCGTGACGCATGCCAATAGCGCGGGCGGGCGCACGTCACGCGGCTTTGTCTTTCACAAGTGACGCACTGGCGGCGTGCTCCCAAGTGCACCAGCACACTATGTAGATCAGTTCAGGTCAGCGTTGTGCTGTGTGCGCAACGCGGGCCTGCCACTGTGAAAATACCGCGTTGTTTGAGTCGCCTGGAGGGCTCCCTGTTTTGCATACGTATCCAAGTGGTTGTTCTTATAAGGATAAGAACACATTGTCCGAGGTCCTGGCTTACACACACACTTCACGCATCAAACTTATTTCCTTTCCCGGCAGTGTCTTGACACCATTTGACCTGCCTCGTTGTATCTCAATCTGACATCCTGCCACTTTTAACAAACAGGGTCCATACGTGCGTAGCGCTACACCTACGGGAAGTTTTGTTCTACGGGAAGGATAGATATATTCCCAGAATCGGGCCACAGTGAACTAAGGATGGGTCTACCGATTAACACGGCTTGTGGTCTACAAAATGAGACCCTTGATGTCATTGTTTTATTTTCTAGTTGTCTTGCAGGCAAATCATAATCAACCGCAACTTTGTTTGAATGCTTTACGCGCACCCGTGTGGCCGGCTGAATACCCTTCGCTCGGGTGGGGGAGGTCAATTTGATCCCCCGAAAATTCAGAAACTGAGCAAGGTAGAGACGCCAAATTCACCGGGTGTGTTGGCCTGTACTTAAATAGACTTGTGTCATAACTTGGGGTTCCTAGGTCATGACTTGCGGGTCAAATATGGTCAAAAAGGTCAAACTCAAGACTGGTGTCCAAAGTGCCCCGGAACCTAGATACCTGTTCTAAGTAAAATGTCACTGGTGTTCATTTAAGGTCAGTGACTCTATTTACCCCTCCTCAGGTCATGGGGAACAAAATCATACAAAAAAACTATCTCAGAGATGTATGGCTTCGTCTCCACTCCGTTCTTGGATCAGAGTGGACGATTCCCTCGCAATTGTCTTCATTGAATCCAAGGCCTGTTTTTGACTCGCCGTTGGTCAGCGACCTTATCAGGCACATCTAATATTTTTATACCAAATGATCCGCTATTCAATCGCATACAGCTAAGCAATGGCTGTGACTATGCCGCGCCGTTCGGAAACCACTTTGGAGAATCCTTCGGGAGTCAGATTAACCCCACCCGAGCATGTGTTTATCTTAACCTGAATCATGACGTCACCAGTGCATTTGGGGCTATCGATCGAAACGGTCACGAAATAAAGGGCTATGGCTTGGGACTTGAACCGGGAAAGTGGTATCAGAGCTCCAGAAAATAGGTGGCGCGGAGAAGCAAACGTCCCCACAATAAAGTGGGCAACAAATTGTCAAGCTTATGCTTGATCAACCATGATACGTGTAGCTGCTGATATTTTTGTTTAGAATACTCCTTCAAATCCTAATCTCACCAACTTCACACCATTTAGCTAAAGATGACCATGCCCGTTGTGCGCGTGACGTGCCCGCGTGTGCACGCTCCGTGACAAAATGAGAGCATTTTGTAATTTAGTTGTGCCCACGTCAGCGGTGATCACAAGCGCAGTAAATTGGCGGCTACACCGCGCAAAGGTCAGCAGTCAGAGTAACATGTACCAACCAGTTTTATCACATCAGCCAGCATTGTAGAATACACAAGAGGCCCTGACCTGTCCGCCTCCATAGACCCCAGCTGTGTAGAGGTAGAGCGAGATGATGAAGCAGGCAGCCTGGCTGTACGGCACCTGGTGCGTCAGCAGCGTCACCATGCGCAGGCTGGACCTGCCGCAGCGGGTGGGAAAAGGGCTCGACGGCTGTCCAGCGAGAACATGGCGACGCCGAACGTCCGACAGGTGCGGAAGCATCGGCAGGTCAGTTCAGATGACAAACATGTCATCGGCGGGGAATATCACCACGGAGCTGACAGGTCTCCTGAGCCGGGACCAGTTGTCAGAGTGTAGCGCACAGGCGCTGGCCATTGCGGGGCAGTAGAGCTGGGAGTGTTTCACCAGTTTTTCGCCCATCACGCGCAAAAAGCAGCACGAAGTCACAAATAAACTCCCCAGCAATCGGATTATTCTGCCTGCGTATGACGGCATCAACAGGAGAGGGCGGCGAACGTTTCTCTCCGCCCCTCCCCCCCCCCCCCCCCTCTTATCATACTCGTTTGTCGTGACTGTCGCCAGCTCCTACCCCTCGCTTCTCGTGACCGCCGCCAGCACCCCTCAGTCGGGCGAGCGTTCACCACTCCGTCCTCCAGACCCAACTCACTTTTTCAAGGCCACGCGAGGGCAGCAGCGCCAGCAGCAGCAGCAGACGGGCGGGCTGGCCAAGGGCACGTGAGCCTCGCCGACAGTCGCCAGCAGCGTCGCCTCGCCGTCGAAGTACAGTACGCACAGGTCGACTAGCTTGGACAGGCTGATACCCATGTAGCTGGGGACAAGGTGTGCGAGGGTCGGCCGTCTGCTGACCAGCGGACGCGCTGCACCAGCGCGGCGCGTGCGGTCAGCAGCCGGCTGCTGACACGTGTCGTCAGGGCCAGCGGCCGCCTGCTGACACGTGTCGTCAGGGCCAGCGGCCGTCTGCTGACACGTGTCGTCAGAGCCTACGGTCGGCACCGCAAACGCTCGAGGCACCGCCGCCAGCTGTCACGATGAGTGGACGCTGTCACCAGGGTCTGTTCCGGTTTTGGGCACGTCAGCAGCAAGCGGCACGGATCGGGCTCTCGCCCGCGTCGCCGCAACACGAAGGGTAGACATATCTCGAATATCGGCGTAAATAGTGAAGGCTCGAATAATTCCGCCTCCAACGAACGACCATTTGTGTCGTTGAGCTGACACCGATAAGCTGCATAACTAGACTGGGTTTCGTGGTGGCAACGAGGAAACTACCTTACACACGTCGGATCAAAAACATTCCACAACTTACATTACACCTATGGCGCTCAGAAAGGCATCTGATGAAGGAACGACCAGGCTGCCCAGGGCTGTCAGACACATGAACTGTGAACACGATGCCGCACGGTTACGAGTCACGTCCGAGTAACTAGCTGTGCTGCTCGCCAAACGCGAGGTCCTTTGCGAAATCGAACGCATATTAGATGTGATGCATATCTGATGCACATAGATGAATAAAGTATCAACATTTTAAATGTCACTGATTAGGTGGCTACGTGGTTCTCGGTTTCGGATATGGCGTGTGTCAATTGAAACGTTCAATGCAAACAATATTGTACAGTCCATGCGGAAACAAGGCGTATTCTGACATGGTACAGGGCACATCTGCATTTCCTCTTAATGAGTCAACAAGATAAACGAACAGCTAGACGCTCGCGCCGATGGATGTTCGTTCGTCTCTTGTGTTTACCACTCGCCCCACTGTCAGCAAGGTACGCATTACCCCCACCAGTCAACGACAGCGCGGTCTGTTGACATAACCGCAAGGCGTGCACCCATGCAGTTGTCTACACTGTCCCGCAGCGGCGGCTGTGCGGGGCAGTGCGCTGTCGTTAGCCGCCGGGGCTGCAGGAGGCGGGGACCTCTACCACGGGGCACGTCGCGGCCGGCGACGGAGGCGCCAGCGGGACACGCACCGCATAAGTGGAGTTCACCCAGATGATGTTGCTGTACCAGTGCTGGGGCGCGCGTCTGCCCACGAGGACAGCTGTCCTCACGAGGAGCCCGCACAGAAGCAGCACCGCCAGGCCGACCAGCACCCACACGGTGATGAGGTACGGCCCCAGGTCTGGCGGCGGGGCCATGAGCGATGCAAATGTATTCGTCACCATGTGTCACTGTCGTGTGTTCGACATTCTGTGTTCCCTTGAATTATTCATATAGATAAGACAGAAGTGTTAGCCTTATGCTTCGCAGAATAATCAGAAGAAAGGAGAAATAAATGTATTGGTATTTCGGCTACGTGCCTTTATCGAGAAGAACATCAGTAGATTCGTTTCGATAAATACATGTAGCCAAATATTAATGCATCTATATCTCTTTTTCCTGGTTATTTTACGAGGAATAACGTTTTTTCTGGTTGTTCTACGGGAAATAACGCTAACAGCACTGTCATCTTAATGCATAATGCCTCTCGCAACTGCACTTAACAGCTTACGTCAGCTATTAATACAAGAAAAAAGTGCATACATAATAAGAACGATCTATTGTAGTCAAAGGAAGACAAAGCAGGTCATTGACCAGAATGAATGACACCTGAAATGATAACTTTCTACGTAACGTCTGTTTCCAGACACTAGCACATGAGAGGCAAGCTCAGGGACTGGAGACGACAGAAGTTTCCAAAACTGGCACGGAGGGAAGACGGTGGCGGCTTCAATGACAGCGCGCGTGTGCACCGAGAATCCTATGGAGATGGTGCAACAAAGTGTCGCTCTTCGCTCTACGTTTAGGGATCACCATCTGATGAGACAGGCGAGGTGGCTACCGCCGGAACACGTGGTAACAAAGCCCTTGCTTAGGATTCCGGGGTCAATATTAGCATTTACTCAATACCGTGACTTAAGCAACGCAAGATGTTTTTTCGAATAGCTGTTCTGACTCTGAATCTACCGTCCACATAAAATGTGAATATAATTTCAGTGAGATAGTTGGCGCATGGCATCATTATCATGTTCTTCGGGCGCCTGGGGGCGTAAGCATTCGGTTGTTTGAGCTGCCAGGCGCAAGCCTTGGTTTGACACGGGCGACCACGGACAGGTCTGACAACATTTACACTCTGGCCACCTTACCACTACTGAGCTTGAAGTAGCTACCAGCGAAGCAAAGCGACAGGAACAAGACGCGAGCCCACGATGACGCGAGCGGCAAAGATGCGAGGCTAGCGCCAAAAGTCCCCCTGCGCGCCTCTGATAGGTAAAGCCACCGACCTGCGAGCACTTGCGCTGTGGAAGGAATGCCCGGTGCAGACGTGCAGTGGACTGCAAGGCTCGTGCTGTTGTCTGGCGGTCCCCCAGAGCTGGAGACGTTGGCGATGGTCTCGAGATCCTGGAAGCTGGCAGCTCCGCCCACGCCGGCATGGAAGGTAGCGGCAGCGACGCGGACGTCAGATAAGTTGGCAGAGCCGATGTGGCCGCCGGTGCCATCCGCCTCCATGTCCTAACGCAGAGCAAATCGTAACTCCAAGAGGCTCGGCGCACTCTGATCCAGTCCGAGCATAGCCCAATCAATGTCTGACGTCTGCGGGTGCCGAACACGGCTTTCTCCAGCGCCTTGCAAGTGCGTAGCCCATCACAAGTACAGGCGTAGCCTTTGATATTGTTGATAAGTCAGGTGCTTACGAGGAGCAAGCGAAAGCACGGCACATTGAGATATTTGGCCAGCTGTGGCTCACCTGCTTGCAAAGGTAAAAAGTGATAGCATCTCCAGAGGTATTGGACGAAAGGATGTACCAATGCACTAGAAACATCTCAATGCTTCAATGACCAAGGCAAGGGTTGTTTTTGTTTTGTTAAATCACGGGTTGGCCACTACGTCGCGTCGAACCGCCCGGTACCCTACAACACATGTACGAAGAACACCACGAAAGCAGTAGCTCGGCAACCGCATGGAGCACACAGTGCACTCCAACTCCTGGAATGTTTCCCTCTTTCACTAATTGTTAAGTTCCATACACGAAAAGTTTCAAGTTTAGGTTTGCAATTATTGGTGCAATTAAATAAAAACAACGGTGAAATCTTCATCAACCAGCTTCATAAACGAAATATTATTCATAATGAAATATCATAGATAATCTCCATTGTTTTGAATCGCGCGCGTTAAATCGATCGGTACTGCTTTCACATCGAACTGCTTTCAGTGACCATTCGTGCTAATCGTGCTTGATGAAAAAATCTCGAAGATATGGAAGCCAACAACGTCGCATAAAACAGTATTATTCGGACACCCACTGCCAATTTGATCGCTTGTGTGCGGATGGGAAGGAGAAGAGGATTTGGTTTTCGGTATATTTTCACTACACTCAAGAGAACGTGATGCTGTACAATCAAAAATGATCGCACCAATCATTGCAATAAAAGGAAACGTGGTGTAATTTTAAATTTAGTGAGAAACTAGCGTACCGACAGGAATTAATGAGTTTATATCTTGTCTATGTCTTGTTTATGTCTATAATTAATGTCTTGATAAAAAGATCTGGTACCCTGCGACTCCGCAGCGCTAGCCATGGGGTTGCGCAGGGGAGTGTCCTGGGCCCACCGCTCTCTTTCTTCTAGCTTAACGGCACGTTAGGTAGGAAGTTCCCATCGAAATTGATAAATAGACTGCAAAGGCTGTAAATAGCTGATAAATATATTTGTAAAATGCTACTAATACTACTAATAAAATACTACAAAGGTACAAACCAGTAACAGGATGTGTACAAAAATTCACTCATGAAATTGCGAGGCAACAACGTGAGCAAACGTCCTCTGGGAGATAGCAAAACCCCGCATGATGAAATAGTTAACATAATAAGGTAAAGATGAAACGGTGAAGTGTTGTCCCACATGATGCATGGGGCCATCCTACCACAGGCTATGCCCAGATCAGCCTTGCGCATTTTAGAGAATAATGGCTGATTCTTTTCAAGTTTACTTCAAAGTTAATGCCCCGCATTATATAATAAATTAGGTGAGGTAGAAAACGCATCATGAACGGTTATAAGCGCTTCTCTCCCAGAATCCCCTTTCCCCATGCAACAGTTTTGTGAATGCTTTTACAAGATGCGTTTGCGAAAAGAACATTTTTGCATCATCGGTAGGGGCTATTAGCAAGGGACAAGAGATCGCTGACGTCACTTTCATACCTAAAATGTCAGTTACATGCACAACGAGTAATGGGCCAGGACAATTCCCTGGGGAGGCCTATGACAGATTTTGCTTAAATCAGACTCAACTATTTAAAACTTATTGTGATTTACATATATATATATATATATATATACATAATTTATATAAAACTTATTTATATAATATTATAAAAAATTATATAAAACTTATTATAAAACTAGACTATTTCGTAGGTGCTTCCAATACTAATTTAACGCAAAGGCATCGGGACGAGATATCAGCGACTAAACTTAGCCCCCGCCATGCACGGAGCATTCTTGAGACCCGTTCATAGTGCTTAGGCCGCATTATTTATTTTTTCTTTTGATGGCGAACCTCGGCAGGCCGTGCTTCGTAATGACATCTGTAAATAAACGTTTGTGCTTGGTGTCCCTGATATAGCACTGATGCTGTGGTACACTAACTTCTCATCAGATGATGAAGTCTGTCGTCGTTGGAGACGCTCTCTCACGACATTACCAATGCTAGCGAGCGTTGTTTGGCACTATGACACTATGCACATTTGGAAGAGTTTGAATTACCAAGATATGACGCCTGCCTTTTAAGTGCTGCGTTTTCTCAAGCTTCGTGAATCTCTCGCATGGTGATATGATACAACGCCCCCGTTTATTCTGCTTCTACTTATTCTAACTGTTCTTACGTGTGATTGTCTGAATAATAGCTTTTCGCGTTTGAGACTCCTTGCTTTTGGATTACGTTGCGACGCATTTAACGACAAATTCCGATTTAATTTGGCTTCAATAAGATTCATTTCGGCCGGTTGTGACCATTTCAGGAAAATACGATGCAGAAAAGTGGATAATGGTGGTTCAAAACCACATGCACCAGGTGGTCCATCAGCCGAGACTTAACCCGCTCAGAGGCCCCGCATACGAGACATGGACTTGTTGCTCGGACAGGCACCTGAGGAACGTTCCACATTTTAAGATATTGAAGCAAGCATCAGATATGATGCAATAAGCTCACTTATAAGTACTCATATTCTTCTCAGAGGAAAAGACTGTTGAAGACAACAAAATGTATGTATCTAGTAAATATTTTCCTTGAGACGTCATTGTTTGATATCATCATGGAAGGTTGAGGAACTAACAACAGGTCGTGCGAAATTGCCCCCCCCCCCCTCCCCCCTCCTCGCACTCACTTAAAGTACCTCAATCGCCCCAGAGGTGGCTGCGGCGGTGTTGGCGGCGTGGCCGTGGCGGTGCTGAAACAGATCGTTATGTGCTCGTGTTTTGACCCTTTCTCATGTCGTTGTTGCGTATTTGCCTATCCGTGGGTTTAACTTGTTAACTTGTATTTACATGCTCGGTTATGGCGCCATCCTTTAGTTATTTGATTGCAAGGCTTATTTCCGTACTAACTAGAAAGGATGTCTAACTTAGTATCATAATGAGTCGTGATTGAGCCTTGCACAGCCTGCACAACATTGATTGAGAGCCAATCGATGACCGTTATACCTGGATATCTTGCTCACGAATGCCAGGTACGATCGACTCGACGATCATATTCTCGGTGGCATTAAATAATGCATGGCCAGTAGGGTGGCAGGATTGGAATGACATTTTGATGGAGTCATGCATGCCCGGAGGACCTTAAAATAGCCTGCACGGAATACGGTGCGCATCTTCGCGGGCGTGACGCTTAGAAACTAGGGAGTTTTAGGTATTAAGAAAGGCATGGCCGTGGACTGCACCGAATGGTCTTCAAAATGGCCGTTTGAGTTCGAAACTCAGTAAGCATGTGACACACTCCCTGTAACCCCACTAATTACTGGTGCATGTAGCTTTCCCTGGACAAGCGGGGCATTGCGAGGATGCAGGATAAAGTGAGAACGAGTAAAAAGAAGGCAGATGCTAGCGACCAGTGCAACATTGCATACTTTATGGTTAGCTTCGCCAAACGAGAACTCTACGCTGAAAATCGTCAACCTCATCATTTGCTTGTATGTGTAGCCTCGTGCGACACTAATCCTGAACTACGGTTTTGCTGTCGGTATACAAAGGCCCTTTTATATGTACCGTTCGCCGCTATGTTTATGCCTACTATCCACAACTTGAAACCAGCCATCGCACGGACATCGAGAGTTCTCAAGACACACAGCCCTGAAGGCAAGCCGGCCGCTGGCGCGCGTGGTAATCGATCGTATTACCCGATTATTTAGAGGCTTGCTTCCCTCATCGGCCTGACGCAAGCCCGGGCCATAAATGTTGGGAGCTGCTACTTTTTAGTTTGTAACTGTATAACAGCAAAGTTTTTACAACTGTGGCAATCCTGCTGTAGTAGTAAAAACATTGACGTCCAAAATTACGTTAAAAAGATCAAAGTGTCAGGACATTCCCTACGTACTGGGCACGAAAGTTTTTCACGTTTAAAGATGAAGATAACTTTTTAAAGTTTCATAGTACATTTTGCCACCGCAGCAACCATCACGAGCCACGCGACTTCAGTTATGCAGCAAGTGCCTGTTAACCCAAACGTATATTTACATTCCCGAATTGGAAGCGGTTACATTGCACCTATATTAGTGCAGCGTCACGATCTCCAAGCGACTCGCAAACGGCCGCAGACCGCAAACCAATAGTGTGGCAAGGACAGGCGAAGCCTTAGACCCCCACGTGAATCCGCCAACGACCAGGCGAAAACGACCAAACGTCGGTGCTTTTCATAACAAAAAGCAACGGCCAGGGCCTGGAACTGCATACAAGTCCTTCATTTCACAGTCAGCTTGATGTATATGCCACGGTAATTGGTCACCATTCAGCAGGATGACAATGAATACAGAGCATGTTTACGACACAGGTTTTTTACGACCGCTTTATCTGAAAAGCAGCAGCACTTTAAAGCAACTTTGGCACAGCCTTTGGCCCGCCCAGTACAGCCAGCCTGACACAACGACGCCTCTATGTCCTGCGACCGTGCTGGACTAATTCCGTTCTGAAAAAGCGGTGATGGCCTTCACATAGCGTCATGCCATCACAAAGGAAATAAAAGTGGCCGAAGGCGGCCCGTTCACTAACCGCTTGTCTATTGTTTGGCTGTCACATGGCCTGCATCCGGGCTGGGCGCGAAATGCACTTGTCTATGCAGAAAGACAATTGTGAGCAGTTGTGTATTTGTCCAGTAAAGATGGCTGAGGAGTAAGCCTACAACTGGCCGTCGATCCAACCGAATAATAGGTTCATCAGCAAACCGAGGGTGCATTCGCAGCGACTTGGACGACAAAGAAGTTATGCCGTCGGCGTCATGCATGACGTCATACTCCATAGATTTTGCATCCTCCGCATATCACCATCCGTGTCCACGCCAATACGTGATAGCACAATACAATGCCCACAAGGTATCCGCAATACATGATGGCCAATGCATGATAGTAAAAGCGCATGCGAGAAAAGCAATTACAATTACCCGCACACAATGCAAAGCAAAGATGACACAGAGAAAATGCTGACTTGGTTCATGTCACCTAAATGAAGGAGTTCGATGTTCGATGTTCGATGAAGGAAAGTGTTCAACATTTGTAGGCGGTTTTGAAGTCAAATTCCCATCTTAAAGAGCATTCGGTGAAGTACACAGCCCTGCAATTCTTAATACCTAAACCCATATAGTTTCTGAGCTACCCGCCCGCGAGCGGACATGTCAGAGCCACGGAGCAGTCGCTCGCGCAACAGTTCAGATGAACCGGGGTCGGTGATGATTTGCCGCATGGTGACAATATCACCATAGGTGAGAGGCTCCTCAAATTAACGCCACACTAGCTCTCGAAGCGATGGGGACACATGGTCACTCCGGTTCAGGCCAGGCACAATACGGATGCCAGGTTGATCGCCTTCTGAAAGCGCTGTCTACGCTGGCGTACAATTTCCCTGCACGGTTATAGAGTAAAGCATTTGATGAAAGACAAGAGCTTCCACCAGCAGACGCCTGGTGCCGCAGGTCGTGGCAGACTCCGATCAGTGAGGGAAGACAAGAGCTTCCACCAGCAGACGTCTGGTGCCGCAGGTCGTGGCAGACTCCGGTCAGTGAGGTAAGACGAGAGCTTCGACCAGCAGACGCCTGGTGCCGCAGGTTATGGCAGACTCCGGCCAGTCCAACCAGGATAAAAGAGCACCAGGACACCATGGCATCAGCACACAATAGCACCACAGCATAGCGCGGAGGCTATATGTACATTCCACGCCAGATGTGAAGCGATGGCTACGCCCAGGACCTTGACGTTCCGTGAGGGTGAAATTTGTCATTGCCAAATGGATCGCGAAATTGACATCGAAGTTTTGGCGCCGAGACTTTAAGATGATGAGTTCAATCTTGCATGGCTTAGTTTTCAGTCGGTTCTGGGTGAACTACAGTAGTGCCACAAGGGCAACAGTGAACACGAGTTTTTAGGGCTTGAATGCTTGCTGAACACTCGGCATCAAGGAACTGAGCGTCGTCTGTGCACATTACAAGCTTCTCACATGGGACGTGCTGCGACAAGTCATTGGGGAAGATTAGAAATCGCACAGGCCCCCGGGATGGATCCTTGGGCCACTATCCCAAAAGATAGCGCCGTGGCGTCCGGTCTCAGACCACATAACGAACTGGAGCTGAATCGTGTATTACGGTCGCAGGTCAAGGTGAAATTCTAAAAAGCGTGTACTTTGCATATCTGACCGCTTCCACAACGCATTCCATTTAAAAGCGTATCTCATGGTGTGAAATCATTGCGCGTTTTGATCCAACAAACTACGAAGGGAGGTATTCAATGTTACGCGCGCCGTTCCGTGCCTAGATCCACGGTCACGCGCCGTGCAAATGAGAGCTGAAACCTTGGTGCGCGTGTCTGTTTCGGTGCATTTACTCCGCCATATTTTAACCATCTAAGCACAAACTGGAAGAGCTTAGCCGAAAATATAGTATCAGACACGTCAACAAGGGCGGTTACGTGTCCATAAACCGTCTAAGACCAAGGTCAAGTGGATTACCTCGGTGGTGAATACGCGGCTGGATCGATTTCACGTTGTTGTCAGCGGTTCAGTCCTGCCGACAGCGCGCCTGACTCCCTTTGACCCCGCTGCAAGTCACGTGTCGTTGGTTTGCGTGCGAAACTCGTAAACGATTTCCGTCGCCCCGTCACCGCGCCGCTGCGGTGGACAGGAGCCCCGCCGCCCACCGTCGCAGGTCTGGCACCTGGGCACATGCAACATGCGTTGTGGTGCATTTCAAGCTATAACTCAGTCATTTTTTCAGGTGATTGCTTAAATGACGTCATTCTGGCATCGCTTACGCTTGATCCATTGTGTTCTCATAGTTGTTATCTTGGCATAAGGCGAAAATCTCATTAATTGGCAGTAGCTGATGATTTCGCAGCGATATCTCCGGGAATTTTTGAATGATTGCGAATTTTGGACAGGGGACAGATTTGACCCCCGATCAATGGCGGATTAAGAGTGTATTGCTTCCGTCGCTATTCCTTCCTTGGAAGTAACCATATATTCCTCAGCCAGATGTGGCTTCCGTAGAGCAGCATGGGAACATAAATGATCACTGGGCTGCCCTCTGATTGGGCTACCTGGCCGGTCGACCTCGCGCGTGGAGCCAAATTTCCCTCCCTCTTGTCAGATGTGCTGGCAAGGGGTACGGAAAATGGCCGCGGCTGCAGGCATCAGCGGCACGGGTTTGAGGGAGCGACGACAGCGCACGGCCGGCGTTTGCTGGGTCGCATTATCCTTTACCGAAGGTTCGAGGACCGTGGTCGGCAGGGCCGGGTTGCCCAAGAAGCAATTTCGGCCATTGGCATCATCCACCAGTTATTTCACCACAGAAGGCTTGTGGTCCTAAAAAGACGGCACAAGTTTCTGGGCACTGTTCTCTTTATTGGTTCTGCTTACAGTCCCAATAACCCAGCAGCCAATGACAGGCATGTCTACTCTGCCTATGCCGCCCGAGAAGTTACCATCAGCTCCCATCTGGCGTCGCACCCGCTTGGGCGTGCCCGGTGTCAAATCTCGGAGATTCTCCGCGCATGTGCGAACGCTAATGACATCTGTTGGCTGCTTCGTGAACTACAATAATAAAGTCACAAATATCAAAAGAACAACCACGCGGTATGTTTGCTCCTTGATGTCTGGCATGCATCACATTAAAAATTGTTTTTGTACAGGTTGTCTATTGGTTGTTCGAGTTTCACTTACGGCAATGCATTACACGATGCAAACGACAATACAAGTGCAACATTGTAGGAACCGTAAGAAAAATTCGAAGCCAGCGAAATTATCCATTAGCCCATACTATGCCAGCGCCCGAATGTTGTGGATCTGCTAGATAAATGATAAGTGCGATAGTTTCAATCCTTTGCGCTGTTTTCCCCGGCAGTTATGCAATGTTTCGCGGTGCGCAACAGGCAATTAAATGAAATTGCATGAAGTGAAACGTGCACAGCCACCTCTTTCAGCAGGCCATATTTGCCCGTGATCCGACGGCTGCGTCCGGACTAGTTCAACTTTATATTCATCCTGTTGGCTTAACTTAAGCAACGCACCTTTAAATGCTTGTATTTCGCGTGCGCAGCTACTATCGTGGAAGTTATGAAAACGCTGACAGAAAATCGTGGCGCGCTGCGAACACGCCCGGAAAAGATTATACGTGACGTCAAATACAAATGTGCATTTCTGGTGCGCTGCGGACGCACCCCAAGTTTTAAGGCACACGACCCGTCCTTTAGCTCTTATGGAGCAGACCAACTACGACAGCAATTTGGCATTCCGTCACGTCTCTCAACCAAACGCTTGAATAGAACAAGGTGGAACCGTTTCGCTCATCGGGCCGCGTTGGAGCTTTGCCGCAAGGTTGCCAGCGCGTGTGTTTACCGGTTTGGAAGGGAATTGGGTCTCAAACTGGCTTCGTCAAGCTATGCGCGTAAAAACCAGTCCATGGGAGCCGTGTCACCTCCGCCCCCTGAGTGTGCTGAGTATAAATACTGTGGTGATGCATGGAAAGCATCAGCTTCAAGATTGATTTCGGCACCCTCACTTTGTGGGATGGGACTCTTTCATTCACCATTTGTGCAGCCCTGATGATGCTATGCAGTTGATGCGTCTTATCTACGCGTCATGCCGCGTATGCAGTGCGTGCGTGTGATCTTCGTGTGCATTCCGTAAGTATATTAAACTTGTCTATCTTGTCTTTGTGCGTCTGACTTAGAACCCCCTGTCAGCTAACTCCCTGTGGGTGGTTCGATTTCAGTGACACGCAACGGGCGATACAGCTCCGCGGACAGTCGTGAGCGCAACTCTCCGACCAGTTTCTAATCGTTTTTACAGACACGTCAAAAAAACAGCCAAACCTCAGTATCCGGTACACAGGTCAAGGATAACGACGCGGAAGCGAAGCTACTCCCCTGACGGAACAGCTGATTCTAGAAACGGCCGGATTGCTGATTCGACTCACTTGGCTCTGATATCCGTTCACTTCCGTCAGCACACGCCTGCGCTCCACCAGAAATCGCTTCGTTTTCTTGCGCGCCGTCCGGGCCGCTTCCGCCCCACCGCAGCCGCGCGCGCCGGAGTAGTGCGTGCCCATTAGCATGTCTCGCTGCTGCCAACACGAGAGAAGCAAGGGCACGCTTGCTGCGACATCTGCCGAGTATAGGGAAAAGCATTCGTACAGTCAGCGGCCGCGTGAGAAGCGTAACCAGTGGTCGAAGTCATCCCTACGGCGTCCCTAGTTGTGCAATGTACGAGAAAGGGTGAAACTTCCTATTCAGTTAAGGAGACGGCTTCAACCTCTTTCCCTTAACTCGGGCTCCATCCAACTTGACTTTAAGAGAAAAGTGAGCCAAAGCTGGGAAGAAACGAACGATTGGCGAATTTGAGAGCCCCATATTTTTCATTTTCATGTTCTTGTCATATTTTTTTCACTGTTCTGCCCCCTAATTCACTTTGCAAAACCATGCTCGTGGTACGTTATGTGTGAAAGATGATACGTGAGCATGTTTGGCAACGGACAATATGTACGTGGAAATCACTGCTACAGATTTGTCTTCAAGCACCCTCACCTCATACTCGGATGAAATTCCTGCGATGATATATCATGACCCAAACTAATCATGCAAATTTCAGTTCCGACCGGTGCTTGAGCCGCAGCCTGGAAAGGGCTGATGGTTCATCCGCATGGTCACGTTTTGTGGGCGCAGCTAACCAAACCGTTGATGAACCGTTGATGTTGTACCGTTGGTGCTGAACCGTTGATGGTTCACCTGCACGGTCACATTGGCAACACAAAGACGCAGCCAAGAGGCGGGGAAGGGCAGGGACACGACCCCCTTATACCTGCATTTAAAAGCTTTCAGCACAGATAACTTCTGACAGAAAGTCAAAAAAGCAGCTGATGCGCTCTCACTACCCCCCCCCCCCCCCCCCGCCAACAGAAGAAAGTCACGGTTGCGCCCCTACATAGCATTGTTGGCCTTTCAAGAGGATGGCCGACCTTCAAATGCCAAGAGATACTGGTTGAACGACGTTATCAAGACAACATCTGTTCTACATTTATGTTTATTTCTAGCTCTCAAAACATATCGAGTTTTTAGGTTTTCTAGCTTCCCACCAAGACTGAAAACTTTTCGAGTTTTGACTACATACTCAAAGTCCACTTGATGACGTCATTTAGCCAATATCTCCAAATGTATTCTAAGTTGATTGTTGTGAGCATAACAACTCCAAGCTCATAATACACGTTTTCCGATACAGCTACGTTACGTCTTCAACCAGCCCCAGTGAGAACCCATCACCAGCCGAGGTCTTCAAACGGATTTGGCACTACCCTGCGACTGCACGACATGATCACTTATGGGTTAGCGTCTAGGATGTTACGTGATAATGACCATTTCATTAGGCCAGAATATCGAGGCCAGATGGCACGTGGCCAGAATATCGAGGGCTTGCTGACTCCCAGTCACATGGTTCGTTTTCCCCAAGTGAAACGTCCTCCGAAGTAACCGGGTAATTAGCTCACTTTCTGAACTTATCCAGATGTTAAGCTGTGGTTCAGTGAGAGGCGTGGGCTTTGCCTGGCTTAACGATTCTATGTGGACAGTGATTATGCGTTTATGCTTATGTCTTTCAATGGCAGTGTTTGTGTTATCCCATTTGAACTGAAACATAAAACGTCTAATAGAATGCCGTGATCTGTCAACAGATGGCTCAGTGTTGACCGGCGTTCGCTTCTGGGGCTTGTCTATCATACATTGTTGTCAGTGACAAGCTGTGCACAATGTGCGGATAGCAGACCCCAAAGAAAGATTGTGACTCGACAGTCGACTCGTCGACTTAACCGGACCCGTCTCGGTCAGGCCCATCGAGCCTGCTCCCACAGCAGGACACGTCGTCTACACGTGATCCGCCCCAGCCGAGGCGCAGGCTCAGCTCCATTCGATGGGCTCCTGAAAAATCTGGAGCCTCCTGAACCATTTGTAAATCCGGATCTTCATCGTTGTCCACACAACTGCCAGGCTCCCCGAATACACTCCGAGCAGCCTCATCGCCAAGAACGATCTGGATGTGACCATGCCAGCCGTGGGCGTAGGAACAGGGCGTGGGGGGGGGGGGGGCAGGGGGCCATGCTTCCCCCACGTTTTTCAAGGTGGGGGCACAATGTAATCTGCCCACAGTTTCTTGGTAGATTTCATATGCTTTAGCCTACTTTCGTACCACCTTAAAAATGCACGTCGATTTACGTAGTTCACCAGCCACCTTCTTCAAATTGCGCCGGACACAGGTACTTCATGTGGTTAAGGACAGCATCTTATCCTATCAAGAACGGCGGACGGTGATATTTATGGGACAACCCCGAGATTCCTCTAGTACCAAAGGCTCAGTTCTGTTTTTCATACAGCCTTGTTTTTTTTGCATGGCTGCTTACAGTCTCATCTGTTCATGGAGTTCAAGATGACATGGTATATTCCTCTGAGGGCCTCCGGATAGACCAGGGGATCCCACCTCTGTGTCCCAGAATGGCGGCCAGCATGCACCTTGTGCTAGGACAGCATGGCCTTTTAGCCTTGGGCCGGTAATGATAACATGCTCTCTCATGTTGTACTCCGGGACCCATTGCCCGGAAAGCGGGAAGGGCCTCAGAAGTGTCTAGTGGATCGAAATGAGGTACAAAATTAGAAAAGGACTCCCCGTCTTCACGTGATACCGTTCATACTTTTGTATAATGGACAAGTGAAACAAATCACGTAAAGCAGTTTAAGACCCTGCACGCTTGCAATTTCAGGAGCAAGAACAGCGATGGTCGGAGCTACAGTTTTTGTAATACTGAACACCAGGCGACGGGCACCATGCGTGCGAAAAAGACCGTCATGAAATAATGTTTCCGAAAGTCTTTCAAAATAATTTGGAGCCATTCGAAGCTTAGACTGGATGCACGACAACTAGATGTTTTACCTTTGATCTTTCAGTTCCACGACCAGATTCCAGCACCACTTCGCGACGCTGTAAAGGCCGACCCGTCTTTATTATTAACACGAAAATCGCACTAGTGTCGCACAACACGCCCGGACAGTTTTCTAAATGAACGGACTGATGTGCTAAGTCGTTGAAAAAATGCGTCATCTTTTTCGTCTGCCTGTAGGCCATCGTTTAGAGTGATCTGCGAGGGGGATGCCGCGGGGCCTGTGGAAACTGCAACGCCGGGCGTAGAAGTTGACGCTAAGATTTGCAAGCGCTCATGTTCAAAACCATGTTACATAGTTTTTCTCAGTAATTGATTCCGGCGGAATTTTGAACACTTCAAGCTGATCATGCGCTAGATATGTCAATACAAATTTTGGACCTCATTTTCATCTATAATCTACGTTCAAGGGCTCTCAATATCTTTGAAGAACACAGAAAAATCTGGCAAAGCTTCTGAGTTCGATCTATTTAGAAAAAAAGTCCACTGATCCATTGCAAGATGAAGAACGCCGGTGACTTATTCCACGCATTCGTCCCACGCCTACTTTCTGCAGTTTACTGATATCATAACATAAACAGAGTTGATCTCGCAGGAGCTTTTGATTTCTGTTTTTGTTCTGTTTGCAATGTAAAAACAATAATTACACTAATAAAATCGTGCTTCTCGTTAAAAAGTGAGCTACATCCAGCATTTTTTTTTTATGTGGGGGAGGAGCCTTGTGCCATCAGTGGTCTTTGTCAACCCTGTGCGCCTCCCCTTTGGCAAAGCTCGTTGACAAGTTAGCTTCATACGCGATTGGAGGTATCACCACTACGGCATCCTTTGCCAACCTTGTGCCTCCCCTTGGTTGGGCTCTGACTACGCCCCTCCTTAAATAAAAGGCTGAGCAAGTCGGTTATGCTGAATGGGGAATAAATGAATTTCTCTCGGACCAATTTACGCGTAAGGCAAGCGACTTCCCGAAAGTTTATTTATTTGCTCTGTTGTGGTGTGAGGGAACAAAAGTCGGAAAAAGATACTGAGTAGGTGTCCAAAATACACTTTGCACACCAACAGGTCAACATGCAGCAAAGCAGTCATATGATCAGTTCACAGTCACTCATGTGGGGGAAAGCCGGGTCAGGGCAGTGGCAGCTGCCGGCGGACGGGAGCAGAACTCAGAGGCGCAATATCTCAAAGAAGGGCCTTCACTCTGGATATCCTTTACAGGAGAAAACCCGATTTCATGGATCTATGTTTTTAGCAATGTTATGGTTTTTTGTGGCATTGTTTTTGACAGTCAGTATTTGAAGATTCCGGATTTGTTTCCGCTGAAAATGTTGCGACAAATATTGTCTCTTGAAAAGCAACCAATGCAGTCTAGGCACATGAAAACACTGGCGCACTATGAGCGGATGACTTGCATTCAAAATTCTGGCCATCAGAAAATTTTCCGATGTCACCATCAAAGAAAAACGGCTGGGTGCAGACGTCTAAAAACTTCAGAATCGTGATCGGGCACGTGATATACCTATGCACCAAGCTCTGCCCACATCTGAGATGGTGGTATGGACTCAGCTGGTTGAGTTGGCATGCAGTGGCTGACCCCACCACGTTAAGCCACTTTGGGAACCGAACGCTGCCGACTACTGCAATAGGCAAAACCTCAGTGCATCATCGCACATAAAGCAAGATGTTTTACAACTGGAGATTAACATGACCAAAAGCGCAAAACAGCCTTGTGTTTCCGCATCTCACTCCGCTTTGCATTTTACTCCCCTCGCGTAGGAGTTGTGATATTAGCGAGCGTTCTTTTTGTCCATCCGTACTATAAGCGACTTTACTCAAGTCGGCTCACATTCCGCCCTTGCCATCAGCGTGTCGCGGCAAGGGTGCCCCCCCCCCCCCCCCGCCTCAAGCTGGAGCCCCTGAATAGCTCCTGTGCCGACTCGTTTCTTACTCAGCACAGTGGGGCGAACGGAGAACTTCCACAAACGTCAGCCAACGCGCTTTTTACGTTGACGCATCGCATGTAAATAGTCCTCATTGCTGTCCAAACCTGGTCAGAGTCGGGTCAGGAAAAAACACACAAATGGTTTGCGCGAGGTTTCCCGGTCGC